AATGGTCCCTAATTAGAGCCCTGATTCTAGTCATTCTGCACTTGGATGAATTCAGCTTTGATTTGAACTGCATAGACTGACACTTTAACTATTTCAGTAATAGACCTAACTGACCTACTGGAGGCAATTTAGCCTGTTAGGTGAAGGGAATATTTGAAAGAAAAAAAAAAAAAAACCCTGCACCTCTGTGAAAATTTGAGTTTTTACAGCATGATCTTAGGGCATCACTGCCCCCTGCACTCCTCAGAGCAAAGCTGCCCCCTCTATAGAGGCAGGCAGGGGGAGTGGCCGTTGGTGGCGCACACAGCCCCTCCTCCTTTGTGCCTCCCCCCTCCCCAAGTGCATCTTGTGCCCCTACTGGTAGAAGTGGGGCAGAGTGTGAAGCCCTGGCCAGGCTGCCATCTTACCTGGGTGGAAGTGGGGAGGCGCTTCCTGCTCCACCTCTTCCTGTCACCACCTCAGCCCTAGCGCCACCACCCTGCAAAATTAGCCACCACGGCTGCTGGAACCGAGTTGCTGCAAACAGCCAGTTTCAGCTCCAGCAGCTACCACAGCCCAGCAGCCAGCAGTTTGCGGACCAACACCAGTCCACAGACAGGTGCTTGGGAACTGCTACTGAAGAATGTCTGTCACAGCAGGGGCTGGTTTTGCTTGGCCCTGAGGCACTATAGCAATAAACATGAATAATACAATCTGTTTTCTGCTGGAAATATATTTTTCAATCAAAGTTATACATTTAATGTTATGTAGGAACATAAAATTACTAGACCAGGTTCTGATCTCAATAATTTATCGTTCAGGTGCAACTGAAATCTGAATTGTATGAATATCAAACTGATACAAATGAGTTTACAGTTAGGCCCTAGAGACTCTTGTCAAAATACCTAGATGCTGTGTTCTTTTTCTTTCAAATGCACATATATCTGTTACAACTGCATACATGGAAATATGCATAAGTGGAAAGTGAAGTACCTAGTTTGCAAACATTGTTTACATTGTGTAAGTTGTATAGTCCGCTTGTATAAGCAGTTAAACCTAGTTACATTGTGCATGGAAAACAGAAATAAAATCTCCAGGTTCAACTAGATCCTGAATTTTCCTACTGAGATTAAGCATTAAGAGTTGAACCCTTTTTAAAAAAAATCTCCAGATAACATGCTACTTACTGTTGCTAGGCAACAGAACTACCCAACCCTGTGGGGAAATACTGGCCATTTTCCAGAAAAAGTCAAAAGTCCTGATGTATAACTCAATTATTAGCTAAAACGATAAGCCTCTTGTAAAACTTCTCCACAGTCTGAAGTTAGGGCTCAATGCTACTGTCTGTACCCACACAAGTATTCTTATTGAAGTCAATATATCAGCTGTGTTTATGTACTGAAATCAATTGGTAATATTTCAATGTTCACTGCAGTCTGGTATCAGACCCTTAAAGTGCAGCAAAAAGGGTGCGAGAGAGAGGCTCAGGGCTTGTCTACACTGGCACATTGTGTCACCAAAAACTGCCTTTTGGCGACAAAACAGTGAGAGTGTTTACATGACAATACGAATTGTGTTGGGAAAATGTGTGTTACCAGTTTTGGCAACAAAAAACTTCCAGCCCTGTGAGACACATGTCTTTCTCTATCTCTTTAAGAGCCAGTGTGGACTCTGCTGTTTGTTTTGTTGAGAGAACTGGCTTTTACCAGTCTCCCACAATGCCTGCCCTGGTGGCTGTGCTCAGTATTTTGTGATTTCTGCTGCTCGGCAGGCATGCAGCCCTCCTCTTTCAAAGCTCCAGATGCTCTGTTTGGGGAACAGAGAGCAAATCATTGAAATGCTTTTGTTCTGCGCTGCTAGGAATACAGCAACAGGCAGACTGATGCTGCAGGAGGAAGGCTGGGGAGACTGCTGTGCTGGTTTCACATTCCTCAGCCCAGAGAGCTCACAGAGCTATGAGGAAATCTCAAAAAGTACAGAGATCAGCTGTGCCATCCCACAACACTGCTCTATGGGATACTTACTCTGTGGGATGCTTTGCTCTATCTGTCTTCGGAGCTAGCAATGTGGCTATGAAATGTTGACAATGGGAGGCAGAAAAACTGGTTTGACTTGTTTTCACTTTTGGCGACAGCACTTTTGTCATCAAACCTTCTCAGTATAGACATAGCCTCACCAAATTTGGGAGTTTGCATACAAAAGGAACCAGTTTTGAACTAGCTCAGGGTGAGATGGGGGTGTGAGGAGAAATCCTATTCGATGAGGTTTAGCAAAACCATTCCAGATTTTAGCCCATTTCATGACAATTTGGTCCCTAACTGTGACCAGTTATTTAAACTTTCAATCTTGGTGGCTTCAAATACTAAGAGACCTTGTTCTGAATGAGTTTTGCATAACTAAAGGTTTAATTACCCCTGCATTTCCTCCATCTTGAATATTTAATGATTGCCTAATGAAAACAGCTAGAAAAAAATTCTCCTCTGAGGTACATCTAAGCAACATGACCAAAGCCATCTGGGAGTGAAAGAAAGAAGAACTCAGCACTTACTGCCTAATTAAAACAACAAACTGGATCCTCATTTTCAAAGAGGAAAACACAAAACTGCCTGCCAATTGGGGCTTAAGATTGCTTTGCTTCTTTGTGTACAGCTAGGGTTGCCAGGTGCCTGGTTTTTGCCTGGACAGTTCAGTATTTGGGTGCCCTGTCCGGTAAAAAAACCTCCAGAAAATACCAGACATGTGCAATGTCCAGTATTCCTGTTTCCCTCGGACAGAAGCCCGTATCTGGCGGTGGCAGGGGAGTGAGGACTGCGGGAAGCACGGGGGGGAGGGGCAATTTTCCCTTGCCGCATCTGGCGGGGGCGGGGGAGTGAGAAGTGCAGGGCCATTTAAAGGTGCAGCGCCCCCCCTCTTTTTTTGTGCTTAACAACTTTGGTCTCTCCCCCCCCCTTTTTTTTCCTCAACAGAATTTTTCCCTGGTGTTTTTTTTTGGGGGGGGGGGGGGAATTGGGTGGTGGTTGGTATTTTTTGTTAAACCATCTGGCAACCCTATGTACAGCACTTTGATACAATCATTCAGAAGACAGAATGGGATGAAGTGGAATGAACTGCTAAGGTCGGCAATGACAGTAGAACTTCACAGTCCCTAAATACTTGGGAATTTGCAGTTTTAAGGTCTGATTCAGGCGGGGGGGGAGGGGAATAACTTCCACAGGACCCCAGGCAAGGTCTGGGGGAGCCTGACTCCATACTCCCAGAAAGGGCAGGGCCTTGGGCAGAAGGAGCATGGCTGACGGTAGCGCTTGGTGTCTTTTCATTGACTTCTAAGGCTGTTAGATCCTGTCGTTTCTGAATTAAACTATTATTACCTCACTGAAATATCTCATCTGGACATGACCCCCACATTTGGAGCTATCATTGGGTCTTCCCTGCTCTTGTGCCTGGGGGAATTCTCTCCCTGACACTGTCTGGTGCTTTTATCCCACTAGATGCCATTGGCCAGGTGTGTGAGGCTGTTGGGAGGCAGAACGTCTCGTGTGCAGTATGGCAAATGCTACAGACCATTCTCTGACAAGAGCCAGATTTTCAAAATGCCTGCGAGCACTTTCCTCATCCTCCTTTTAATTGCACTTCGTATGAGAGCAGCTGGGATAATCTCTACACTCCCTCCCTCCCATATTTCAGTACTAGATACTCATGGGGTGCATCTAGACTGGCAAGATTTTGCGTAAAAGCAGCCGCTTTTGTGCAAAAATTTGCCAGCTGTCTACACTGGCCACTTGAATTTGTGCAAGTGCACTGACATTCTAATATAAGAATTCAGTGCTTCTTGCAGAAATACTTGACGCTCCCGCTCAGGGATAAGCCCTCTTGTGCAAGAATACTTACGCAAGAGGGCTAGTGTAGACAGGAACCTTAATTTTTTGCGCAAGAAAGCCCGATGGCTAAAATGGCCATTGGAGCTTTCTTGCACAAAAGCGTGTCTATACTAGGCATGGATGTTTTTGCGCAAAAGCGTCCGTGCCAATCTAGATGCTCCTTTGTGGAAATATTTTTAATGGAAAAACTTTTCCGTTACAAGTATTTCTGCAAAATCATGCCAGTCTAGACGCAGCCACAGTGTTTAGCCTCTCATCTTAATAATGGGCAATTCCTTGCATATCCTATGTCTTCTTTGCAGCTAGCAGCCACAGGCTCTATGCTCTTATTTCACACAGTTCATATAGTCTAAACAAGCAAAATGTGTCAGCTGCAACTAAACTTCATAAAGAAGCCAGAAATATTTGGGAATATGCCCTCTTTTTGGTGAGCAGTTGTCAATAGGGCAAACTATATCCAAGCAATGAGGCCTGTAGTATCAGAGACCGTAATGTAATAAAGAACTTTCTCCAAAGCAGATGAAACTTTCCGGAAAATTTTAAGGTGTCTGTCAAAACCTGTGTTCAGTTGCCTTCTCTTAATTTGATAGATTCCTTCACAGCCATGCATTAACTCTGCATTAATAAATGGTTTTTCTCCATAGTGCAGCAAATATGGGAAATAATTTGACGGTTCAAGAAGAAGCTGAAGACCAAGATAACGTGTGCACAACAGAGAATTATCAGGTAACCAAAAAAACCTCATCCCTTGACTATTGTTGCATTAATAAGAAAGGCACCCAGAGTCCTGTTCAAACTGCCATTGGTGCTTTTGAAAATCCTACTCTCATTGTATAAAACCTTCCTATGTTACGGGCTTCAGTATAGATTTCTTGTTCCTGTGTATATAGAGTAGGAGGAAAGGGTGCACAGCAGTGTCCCCTGTAAGATGAGCACTTGGGCAACCATATAGGAGAAATTCAGGTGCTGCCCACAGCCAGCAGAATGTGTTTATACTGGTGGTGCACATCTGCACGTGCCTTGGTGCACATAACAAAATTTATTCTGCACACGGGTGGAAAAAACAAAAGAAGAAACTAGCTGAAGTTACCCGGCGTTGCTCGGGAAACTGGAGGAACAAAATGGAGAAAAAACAGTAGTCCATTATCTTTTTTTGAATGGTAGAAAAGTTGCACTGATTTCTATAGGTATTAAAATATAGGTCCACGTCATCCCCGGAGGAGGGGGAGGGTGCGACCCCAGGTGGAGAGGAGGTTACACATGGGAGGGGTGCCCCAGCTCTCACCTGGGGCTGCAGGTGCTGCAGAGGGCAGGGCAGGTATCTGAGCTGTTGTGCACATGGGGGGTCGGGGCACTGTGTGCCGGCGTAGGGGGAAGGTCGGGGGGTCGCTTATGTAACCTCACAGGTGGGAGGGAGATAGTCCTGGATGGTACTGGGGGCCGCAGGTGGCAGGCACGGAACCTAGGGTGGGCGGGGCGGCCACGGCAGCGCAGTGCAGCAGGTTACTTTTTGATTTTTACAGCTTGAGCTCAGGCCCAGTCAGGTCCAAAAGTACCTTAAAACCTTCTCCTGGATGAAAGGTTATCCCATGCAAAGTTTGGTTGCAGTAGCTCTTATAGTATCCAAGTTATTAGCGCACATACTTATAAACATTCTCCTTTATATATTAGATACTGGTGCACAGGCCCCAAAATCTTGAGATAAAGTATTATCCTGATTCATTTCAATATGAAACCCCCTATTGATGTCATTGGCACCACATTTTCACTCCTCTCCTTTTGATGGGAACACTAACACAATACATTCTAATCATTTAGGTGCCTATGGGTGTGTCTAGACTACATGCCTCCGTCGACGGAGGCATGTAGATTAGACAGATCGGCAGAGGGAAATGAAGCCGCGATTAAAATAATCGCGGCTTCATTTAAATCCCTTTCCACTACATACCTTTATCATTGTTTTCAGAAGAATCAGTCTGTACAGCCTGAAGTGTGACAGGTCCATTTTTAGCACAGGCAGGAGGTTCAGACGCAACCTGAAACACCAAATTTTATATATTTGCTTAGCTGCATGCCTTAGAATACACATTGTCAAGAATTTGCACAATGTAGCAGAAGATATCTGATAACAAAAAATTCAAGTGTTTAAGTGACCTAGGTTTCTAAGTCCAATTTTAAAATTGACTTAAAAACCTTAGAAATTGAGTAGAACAATGCCTAAATATCTTTAAAAATAGTTTTCATGCCCGAGGCCCAGATCTTAAGGCATATAGGGTGTGTCTAGACTACATGCCTCCGTCGACGGAGGCATGTAGTCTAGACACACCCTATATGCCTTAAGATCTGGGCCTCGGGCATGAAAACTATTTTTAAAGATATTTAGGCATTGTTCTACTCAATTTCTAAGGTTTTTAAGTCAATTTTAAAATTGGACTTAGAAACCTAGGTCACTTAAACACTTGAATTTTTTGTTATCAGATATCTTCTGCTACATTGTGCAAATTCTTGACAATGTGTATTCTAAGGCATGCAGCTAAGCAAATATATAAAATTTGGTGTTTCAGGTTGCGTCTGAACCTCCTGCCTGTGCTAAAAATGGACCTGTCACACTTCAGGCTGTACAGACTGATTCTTCTGAAAACAATGATAAAGGTATGTAGTGGAAAGGGAGAGCTGTCACATCCACTCTGCTTCTGCTAGCAGCTAGGAAGATGCAATACTAAAGCTGAAACAATAAGAGCCATGTTCAGTATCAGATGAAAAGATTAGTTTGTGTGTCAGTTCAGACTTGTGAATCATCACTTGTGGTTTCCAAAGCCTAGGCTTCTCAAGAAGGTAAGACAGCTGCAGCCTTTGCTAATTCAAATACTCTCATTAAGATGTTTATTTAATCAGATTACGAGTCTGCTGCATCAAACCCTGCCCAAATTATAAAGTGTTACACAGTAGACTGAATATTTCAGACCCGATTAATCAGAGTCCCCAGTGGGCACAAAGAGGCTATGTCTACACTTGAAGCTTCTTGCGCAAGTATGGCTGTTGCGCAAGAATCCGCAGAGCGTCCACACTGCCATGGGCGCTCTTGCGCAAAAGCGCAGCTCGCACATGGCAGTGTGGACGGTCTCTTGCGCAAGAAAGCTCTGCTGGACATTTTAGCCATAGGGCTTTCTTGTGCAAGAAATCCCTGCCCAGCGTCCACACTGCCATGGGCGCTCTTGCGCAAAAGCGCAGCTCGCACATGGCAGTGTGGACGGTCTCTTGCGCAAGAAAGCTCTGCTGGACATTTTAGCCATAGGGCTTTCTTGTGCAAGAAGCCACCAGTGTAGACATAGCCAGAGATTATAGCACAAGTGTAGATGTGACAGAAGGACCCTCTGTACCTCTACCTGAGCTCAGGAATTAGGGGGCATTTTGGGGTGGACTAAGGATGGACTGGAATTGGTGTGGATTGGCCAAAGGAGGAAGGGCATGATTTAAGGTGTGAAACGGTATAGATGGGGCAGCTTACTTTTCAGATACTTTATGCAGCTGCATAGCCGCATAGGAACCTTTGCAACAAGGAGCACAAGTGAAGGCCACCCTGAAGACCCCATCAATCCTTGTAAGCCCCTGGAGGGAGAAGTCCAAACTGCTTTTTCTCTGTCCCAGAGTTCACACTTGAGCCCAGGTAGGGATGAATCTGCCCCTTCAAGAGGCCCTGAGATTGAGGGTACATGATGGGAAGGTATTTCACAGAATGGGATGGAGAATACTTAACATTCTAGAGGGTGTAAATGTCGCTTGCGGGTCAGCAGCAACAGTGATACTCAGCGTGGAGTTACCAAGTTATTTCATTGCGCTCATGGGGACTGTACTAGTCACTTGCTTGGAAACTGATCATTAAAGGGAGAAGGAGAGGATAAGTACTGATATTTAGGAAGTTGTCAGGATTCATTGCCGAGGTGTCCTCACAAGTCTCTGGCTCCATTGATGATGACAACCCAGAAGGCTGCTTGTGCAAAAAATCCTCTTGCACAATGCTTTTATTCCTGAAAATAATGAGCATAATGGCATTGCTCAAGAGGGTTTTTCTTGTGCAAGAAGGGGCAATGTAGACAGCTCCTTCTGGCGCAAGAGGCTCTTCTGCAAAAATGGTGGCTCATTAGGTATGCAAATGATACTCAGCGATATTCCACACTTAGCCACATTTGCATATTTCTCGTGCAAGAAGTCGCAAGTGTAGACATAGCCCCGGAATGTCCCCCTTATGGCTCAGCTGAGGACCAGATCTCCACTACTGTGAGGCCCCCTCCTTCAGTTGCTCTCTATGTGGTTTCTTTCCCTGTTCTTTCAGCCTAGATTGCTCCCTCTTCATGGTCTTGGCACCTCACTATAGTTCTCCTTTTCCAGGATCTCAGCACTGCAATAGACAACCATCACTGTTTTTTGCTCTACTGCTACTTTTCCAGTGGCTGTAGCAGAACCTGGGCCCATCCTTTGCTCAAGGTTCCATCTCAGAGACCCTACATCTAGCAACCACAATCTACACAGTCTCAAACTCTTGTTTTACCGGGGCTCCATCCTATCTTTGTTCACTATTGTCTGCTCCCCTTCGGTTTTTCTAAGATCCTTGTAGCAAGTCTACAACCTCTGACATTGTTGTTAAAGACTCTGCATTCACAGGCAGGATTGCAGGGCTTATATCCAATGTTTCCTCTAATCTTTTTCCATCCATGTACAAAATAAATTTTACGTGCACCGAGGCACAGGCAATAGAAACACTTGCTGTGGGCTCTTGGTAGCTGTGAGCACTCTGCCAATCAACTGGGTTGCACCTGAAACTCTCCTGGGCAGCCACCAAAGCACTCATCTTACAGGGAACACTGTTTACATCCCCTTGGACATGGAAATCAGATTGGAGGGGGAGGAAGTTTTATGCCAGATGGTTAGCAGGTATAAACCAACGTTCCTCCAGTGATCTGGACCTTAATCTGCTCAGATGGGATATATTCTGGTTTACTGACATGCACCCAAATTGCTACAGTTTCAGGATTTAAGACCTATTTCTAGATTGCTAACAAGACTGTTGTAAGGAAAGGCAAGGTGCATGTTATTGCAGAGGTACCAAATAAATAAAGTTACATATTATATATTTATAGTTCCCAAAATAAAGTGGAGTTGAATGAGAGGAAGGATTAGAAACCAAATGAATGTTCCTAAGAAATGTCAATAAAAAACATGTAAACATTCTTCTTCTTCTTCATCTCTCAACTTTTGGGCAAAAATCAAGCACAGTCTCTGTTACTGGATGTCTTTTCTGTCTGGAACACATTGACTGAAAAAAATCACTTTCCTGACTCTAAAATACAGGGAGTGGGAATATGCAAGTTCATGCTTTTGTTGCCTAGACAGAAAAATACATTCAACACACATTTTTATTTATGTATTGCTTAAGCCTCTGTACTTCAGGGCTGCGTCTAGACTGGCATGATTTTGTAATGTACAAAATCAGTGGTTCTTGCACAAATACTCTGATGCTCCCACTCAGGGATAAGCCTTCTTGCGCAAGTATTCTTGTGGAAGAGGGCCAGTGTAGACAACAATGTTAATATCTTGCACAAGAAAGCCCGATGGCTAAAATGGCCATTGGAGCTTTCTTGCGCAAGAGAGCGTCTACACTGGCACGGATGCTTTTGCACAAAAGCAAATCTTTTGCACAAAGGCACATGCCAGTATAGATGCTCTCTTGCGCAAATACTTTTAACAGAAAAACTTTTCCGTTAAAAGTATTTGTGCAAAATCATGCCAGTCTAGACGCAGCCCAAGTGTCTAAACTGGACAGAAAATGGCAGCTGCTTTCATTAGTTATCTACAAATTTAAAAGTATAGTACACAGGCACGAAATCATAATTTACATAGCTACATATGGAGCAGGCCAGCTGAGAAAAGCAATATATTTTAAGTTGATCCAATAAAACATATTACTTCTCCCACCTTGTATCTCTAAAATCCTGGGACTAACTCAGCTACCACCACATTGCATAGCTACATATGTGACAGTTAGGGTTGCCAGGTGTCCGGTATTCTACTGGACAGTCCAGTTTTTGGGCCCTCTGTCCAGTAAAAAATTTCAGAAAATCCCAGACATGTGCACTATCCGGTATTTTCTGGTTTTCCAGCTGGGTGCCTGAGGGAAGCCTGGCAGAATGGAGGAAGTGACTGGGAGGCAGGGCACAATTGGTGCTGGGAGCCTCTGGTTGCACCTGAGGAGGAAGGGAAGCCCTGTCTGTGCTCCTGAGCACTGGTCAAGCACATGGTGGAGCTGTAGCCAGACTTGATTGTATTTCACTGGGACCGTGCATGGGACAGGCAGCACCCTAGGATCTGCATGTGCCTGAGTCAGTCCCACTCCCCGCC